CCAATCTTCCTGGCTTCACACATCTTAAATACAAAAAGAGTCCCTGCTGTAGCTCTCTCTCTCCACTAACAACATTTGACTTACCATGCAACAGATCAGGAGCCATGTGCCTGTAAATAATTCTGCCATTTTTAATATATTTGTAACAGTAATAAAATATTCTGAGAATATAAAGCAATGAAAATGGTCAGGGAAGGATTTTTAAATAGGGAAAATAATTTTGATGTCATCTAAGGTTAAATGTATTGCAAGCTCTTTAATCTGGAACCTTTGCAGAGCAACACTGCTGTTGCTTGGCTTCATCATGCTTGGCTTTGCTGCTGTAACTCATGCATCCAACTTTTCATCATTGGACTAAAATGGCCTAGATGTGTTTKATGAAAATCCTCTTTAAGACAGTCATGGCTGATTACTAAATCAGCCCAAAGTGGAATGATTGTAGCTGTGCTCTCTCTGAGCTTATTTACTGTGGTTTCAGCTTTGCTTTGCTCATACCTGCGCTGCTCATTATCAAAACAAACCAATTTAAAGCTTTTATACACTGTCATAAGATGATCCACAGCAATGCTAACAGACATACCTTTAGAGAGCTTCTGGAATCCTGAAGTGACTTTGATCCTGTAGCTGTAGTGGGCCAACTCAGCAGGGTATATTTCAGCTCAATTTCTGTGACAGTTCCTCATAGCATTTCACTCTATTCTTTACATTCTGTACTTTCAGTTACACATGTTCTCCTGTTTTCTGGATACACAGGCAATAGCAGCTTTATATTTTTCTATATTCATCAGTTCTTGCTTTTCTTCAAATAGGTCTGTTCCCTGTTTTTCTAATTAAAATTGTCTAACTCTACTTTTGAACTGTATGTTTCATTTTCCTTCAGCTGTGCCCTTTTTACCTACGCATCCAATTCCTTCCTTTGGAAATTTCTCCTCAAGAATTTTAATCCCATTTCTGTTCCTTTAAATGGTCGGTGTTATCTTTGAGCTGCTCTAGATTCCACTTAAGGCATACATGCTCGCTTCACAGCTTCAGAAAGATAGGTTTAAGGGAGATTCAGAGCTGTGCCAAAGGATGCTCACGCGTTTTGCTCTCTTATAACAYGAAATTTAATTACTGCAATATTCTGTTCTGCTCTTCAGATTACCACTGCTCATGCATCTGCTAGGATGAATGATTGAAGACGAAAGCAATGTAAACCTTGTGCTTAGGACTCTGTTTACTTGCACAGCAAGGAAATGAGTTATTGCAACTTCCTCTGGCATACTGGTCTCTTGGCATGGTACCATCCTGTGCACTCCCCAGGGAAAGAAACATCTCCTGTAAAAGTTAGTACTTCATCGACCTCATAGTAATTACTTGTTGTAAAATAATTTAATGGTTGTTTAAAAATGTAGTCAGCAATCCATTTGGGGACTGAAATTGTTATACTAATTTAGTATATATTTAGTATATATTTAGTAATTTAAAATAATTTTTTAAACACTGTTGTAGTTTTCACTGGTAAAGCTGTTGTTTATTGGTCTTCTGTTAGATGAGCCAGAATTTATGGGGGAACCTTAGTCACTTTTACTGGATGAGCTGAGGAAATTGAAAAAAATTGCAGTTTTTTGGATCCATTGTATCTATGGCATTGCTTGTGTCTGGGAGACCCTTAATACTGTGTGATATATCAGTAAACAAATAGGATGCAAAAATCAAAATTTCCTTTATGATACAGACTAAAAACTGATTAAATTCAGGTTCTTAAGTATAATTACAAACTGGGAATCATTGCAAGAACTGATTTGATTCTGCTGAGGTTCCAAAGGATTGGGGCCAAGAAATGATCTCTGTAAGATCTTGCTAATCCAGTGCACCAATATAAACTCGTTACTGATAAAGTCAGAAAGTCAAAAAAGAAAACCATAAACTCTAAAAGAGAGGAGCGCTGAATGATCTGGACTGTTTGGAAAGCTCCATGCAGGTAAATTATATGTATTGAGACCAAGTAGGGTAACAAATATCTAGGTACAAAGATTGTTTGCCATGCGGGATACAATAACCTGTCCTAGAGAGCAGCAGGTCTGAAAAGGGCTCAGGGAGAATGAGAGGTGTGAGAGCCAGCATGAGCCCTGCTGCACATTAGCAGCATGGAGGATGAATGAAATCCTCAGCTGAGCCCTCAGTGAAAAAATGGAATTGTGATTTAACACTGGCCTGACCTCTGCTGAAAAAGTATCTGATGCAGCTACAGTTCACAATTCGAGGAGTAAAAAGATTTATGGGAACATTTGAAGGGATGGAAAATGTGCCTTACAGGAAGATATTCTAGGGAGTGTTAACTCCATGTCTTTATCATCATAACCTTAAAACTCATCTGGAGAAAATAATAGTTCAGCAATCCCATTAAAAAAAGTCATAATAAAAACTAAAATTTAGAAGTCAGTGTAGGACTGATCAGCATTTTAAAGAGAGGAAGAGTTATAACTCTTTACAAATGACTGCAAGCAGTCATTAGAACATTTCCCTRATGGCTGTAGTAGATCAGTCTTGATTTTTAATTCACCATTTGTATGTTAAAAAAAAGGACTAAAAACCAGATGCAAGAATTAATCCTGATAAGCCCTGTAGTTAACCTAATTATTAGGTTAGAAATCCCAGTGGTCCTGTCTGGTCTTAAACTTCTGTAGCCATCAACATAAATTTAAATTGCTGCCTTTGATGAAGTTTCCTCTTCTTGCTGTTATTTAGATATTACTTTTAAAATCAGTCTTTCCTAAACTAATCCTTCTAATATTATTTTTATGTTTTCAGATCACATAGACAAAGCCACCAAAGCTTGTCATTGTGAGGTTTATAAGCTAGAGACGGCGTTCCCTCCTTGGCAATGTCCCTTTAGTGACACCAGTTGGCAGAGCAGCACTGTCAGGCAGCAGTTGGGGCTGTCAGAATATGCACAGAGAATGACTTAGTCACAACCCTCACCAGACCTGTGTTATGATCCTCATTGCTGAGTGTGTGCAGGATCTTGCTGTGCTGGTTAGAGGGAGCCAGGAGGGATGCTCTGTTGCCTTTCTTATTGATGTTCCTCATTCTATGATCTGGCAACAAAATGAGAAGAGGTGTGTCAACCAAGGAAAGATCTCTGGCAGAAAAAAAACCCTCTACACGCAGGAATTTAAAATACAGAAAATGTCTTTCCTCTGCTTTTATTTTCCTTTTATTTCTGACACAAAGGAACAGCTGTGGATGGAAATCAATAGGGCCTCCATTGGCTGTGAAGAAGTCATCAGCAGGTTTTACTGATCCAGGAGGCCATAAGCCCCAAGTTACCCAGAAACAGCTCATGCATTAGGATCAACTTTAATACTGGGAARGATATTGTAAAGAGAGGTATTGCTRACTATTGATGAAAACAAACAGCTTGGCTTAAAGAAATAATGCATAAAGTTGATTTTAATAGTTGTCTCTGCTTAAAACAAGCATCTAAAAGCTGAATTCTATCAACATAATCTCTTAATGAGACTGCAAAGCTGTTTTCCTTCCCTTCTGTGCCATTTCTCATGTTTTACCTTTCCCTCATGTTTGATCTTTTTTCAACATCAGTCATTCATTTACAGCACTTTGGCTAATGTAACGGGGATTTGGATTAGGCTCCAAGTTGTCATTTCCTTTCTGTTTGAATAGGGATTTCTTTTAACCAGAGGAAGGAAATCAATAATTTGTCATGACAAACCAACGCTCATTTGGATTCGCAATCATGTGGTCAGCTCTTCTGTCATTTTCTAAAGYGTTTTAGGATAATGGAAGAAGAGTCTCATTTATGATTTCTGATGTTTTCCTTTGTTTTCCTGGATTTATTTAACATCTGTACTCCATTTGACCATTTGCAGGACAGATTACAGTAAATCTATCAATTTTGTTTGTTTTTAAGGTAGTGCTAAGTTTTTATGCTTTCCATGCCTCAAGTCTTTCCCAGGGGATCATTCAGGGATCCATCAAAGGATTAACTTTTGGTATGACAAATTAACAGATGTACCTGTAGGAACAAGCTAAACTATACTTTGCCATAAACTTGCAAAATCCATACAGTTCCTTTCCAATTGGAGTTCCGTAGATGGCAAATTATTTACAGAACTGAGCTCCCATTCTTTCTAAGTGCTGCTACCTCTGCAATCCCACCAGCGCATGAAGACTCTCAATCCTTGGCTCTCAGCACGGGGGAAGTCCAAGTATTTTCCTTCCAGTCCCACTCTGCAAATTGAGGATTGCTCAGGGAACCTGGACACCTGTGTGCTCCTCAGCATCCTGACACTACAGACTGGGAGTCAGTGCGGAATGAGCTCTGGGGCTGAGATTTTCCTCTTGTTTTGCCCTAGGACGGCTTGACCACCTCCCAAAAAGAGGGATGGGGACAGGTTGCTATGGCCCTGGAACCCCAGGGCCCTGGAACCCCAGGTGGCCTAAATGTGTGTTGCTGGTTCAGGGTTCTGCATAGAGAGGGAGGTTTTTGGGGGCAACTCCAGACATTTTGCGCTCGCTGGGTCCAAGAGAGGAGGCGGGTGCTGGCTCTAGCAGTGAGGGTCTTGCCAAAGTCTTCCGTTCTCCTGTCCCTACAGACACCCTACAGTTTATTACCTTTATCTTTGGGGTGTCTGCCTCCACCGGGCGCCCTCCCCCCTCAGCCCTAGGGGAAGAAGAGGCGTTTTGGGGTGCGAGGGGGCCGGTGCGTGCTACGATCGCCGGGCGCGGCTTTGTCGGGGCACGGCTGTGGAAGGTAGGAAGGAACGAGGCGTGGGTGGGGTGTCGGGGAGGCGTGTGTTATGTTGCGGGAGCCGTGGGCTGGGGAGGGGGGAGCCAGGGCGATCCTCCCCGCCCATGATTGGCAGCGCTGCGTGTCCCCCCCAGCTCGGCTGCTGCTGCCCCTCGGCCTCGGCGGAGCACACACCCGCACCACCGCACCACCGCCCCACCGCTGCTCGCCGCGCCGCTCTCCTGCCGCTGTCATTTGTTTTAATTTTTTATTTATTTATTTATTTTTTTCCCGTTCCTCCCCTCCCATCTTTTGGGCGCTTCCCCGCTCCCCCGCCCGCCCGGCGGGCTGCCTCCGCGGGCGCGCAGCGCAGGGCCATGCCGGCGGGGCCGCCGCTGCTTCGGAGCTCCCTCCTCCTCCTCCTCCTCCTCCTGCACTTGCTCGGAGCCCCGGCCCGCGGAGCCGTCTACACCAACCATTTCTTGGTGGAGTTGAACGGCGGGGGCCAGGCGGAGGCCGAGCGCGTAGCGGCGGAGCACGGCTTCGGCGGGGTGCGGAAGGTAAGCCCCCCGCGCAGGGCGGCAGCGCTGCTGCGCTCTTCACCTTGGGCTCAGGGCGAGCGGTGTCCTGAGCATCCCGTGGGCATCCCGTGGGCATCCCGGGGGTAGCCCCGGCGCGGTTCTGCTCGCCGCTCACCTGCGGGAGCGCGTCCCGCTGTCCTCGCGTTAATCCCCGCTTCCCCAGCGGCACCAAGAGCCGTGGCAAGTGGTGCTCGGCATCGGCCCAGCAAGGTGATGCTCTTGGACTGGAGACACAGACGAGTTTCCCACATGGTATCTCGGTGCCTTTTGGCTTACTATGTAAACATCCTGCCATGGAGGAGCTCCCATCCTGCGGGGCTGGGGCTGCCGCCCAGGGCTTCCCGAGCGCGGCTGCAGCCGCTCGGAGCACTTAGGAAAAATGGAAAGCTTCATCTCCATGGACGCAATTTAAATAGAAGATTTCACAGGGGKTTTGACACTCAAGTTTGCGAAGCTGGTGGCTTCTTAATATCCCTGTTATTCTTATAGAAAAATAAGATGACCCTAGGGTGAAGAAACTGCTTAATATTAAGCATGATAAGCAATCAATGCTTTTCATTAGTGAATGTAAGTTGGGAAACTTCAAGTGCCACTGGAGGTTGTTTTCTCTCCAGAGGTCCTAGGAAATCARACATAACCAGAGTGGCAGGTCCCCTCCTGGCTCCTAGAGTGTCTGGCTCTGCAAGAAATCTCTCCCCTTCAAATAATAATTAGGCCTCTAAATATTTTAGGGTACAGTAAGACCTGGTGTGAAACCAAGGAGAGGCTGATAGAGTGCCCTGGTCAATATAAGTCCTGGCAGACTTGCTTGAAGGAGTGTAGAAGGAAAGTGGGCTGTGAGTCTTGCTGCTTGCTTGTTCGGTCTTTTTTCTTTTCCTGCCAGTTATGCAATGACAGCCTGGTCCTGCATCCAAGGAGATAAATGATAATAGCACCCTGAACTTGCATGAGTGAAAGGGCTTTAAACCTCGGTTTAAAAATAAATACTGAAAAAGCATATCAAGTGTGACTCCCTCCCTTCAGGCTGCCTCATTTCAACTCCAGTGGGAGCTTGTTAGAGAAATGAGGGCAGGATCATTGTTGTTGTGACCACAGCTAACTCCTGCTGCTGCTAAGATGCTTTTGTTTTAGGCACACAGTGCTGATTGTGACAAGGTTGGGATGCTGATACATTTGGGAGAGGATTCATTGTGGGGATTAAGTTTTGTTATATGAAATTGGGATACAGCATTTTGGTCAACAGTTTTCCCTCTTCTGGTTGCTTCCTGACTGTGCTCCTTCCCTCCTATCCTGGGGTTCTCTGACTGATAAGGCCTTACCAGGACAGAATGGTGCTTTCCTGAACAGCTCAATTTCTCATGACTTTTTGCTAGATACTTTCAAAGGATCCTGTGATCGAAGTGGGGAAGAGACATGGATGTGATGTGTGTGTGCACTCGTGGCATAGGGCAGCAGGTGTTTGCAGTGGCTCCTGTACTCAGCACATGCTGTCTCAAGGTTTCTGGGTTATACCACCCCAGTCCCTGAAAACCTAATAAACCTCCCACCCCTTCTCCACAAGAGGAAATAGCACCCTGCTTTCTACAAGGKGGTAATTTTAGGGAAGAGGAAAAGTTGGCAGGGTTTGACATTTTGCTGGCTGTGTTGGAAGGTAATCCATGAGAGATTGATAGCAATCTCCATTCTTAACAGGGCTTTGGTGGTGATAGTTGGCCGCTGATAAAAGCTTGTGCCATTTATGCCTGTGGCTCCTCAGTGCTGCTGAAGAGTCTCCTCTGTGTTTTGCTATCATCAGGCTTGTCTAGCAGCTCACAGTCTGCAGACTCAGCTTTCATGGCAATAACGGCAGTGCAGAAAGTTGAACGTGACCATGAGTACAGAAGCACAGAGCTGTTAGTGGGAAAGGAAACTCTCGGGGGAAAGTACCRTGTGTAGATATGCTGTCTAATGAAATATTCAAAAAATATCAGCACCACCCTTCCCCACCCCCCTCCAAATCACACCACAAGGAGAAGTGATCGCTTAGATATTCCAATGACGTGCTCTTTGGATGATATATTGAGTTATTTACTTAAACAAATCTGGTTAACTTTACCCATATTGGGGAAGAATCATTGTCTGAAAATAATCACCTTTATTTCAGTGCAGGGATTTTCCCAGTGCAGATTCTGCTTTTTTTTTTTTTTTTTTTTTTTTTTTTTTTTTTTTTTTTTTTTTTTTTTTTTTTTTTGGTGTTTGTGAATTTAGATTTCAGGACGTGTGTGCAAAAGACCCTTTTCTGCCTGTTAGGGTATCACAGATTTCTTTTTAACATAACTTTATGGGAGCTGGTTTTTAAATTACGTATTTTTACTGCACATGCTTTTTACCCAATAACAAGCAATCTCTGAGCAAGTGCATATTACATTTACAAATAGCAGATTTCTGCAGAAATATACAAGAGAGCATTGCCTTTAAGATTAATATTACCAACTGCAAGATGTGCTTCCTAATTGATTCTTTGGCTGTGCTTCCTACTATCATTCTGAAACCACTACAAGACATCAGGTGGGCTAAATGTGTGCTTTAAATTCAGTGCTTGATGAATTGATTAAGAARGGCTTGGTGCTTACATAAACAGGTAGCTTATATTTAGGTCTGGAATCCTAAAGTGAGTCAGTGTCATAAACACTAGTCAGTTTTTCTTAAATCTTCCCTGAATTAATCCTGAATTCAAACCTCTTTGCAACGCTGATTGTGCTCTTTGAGTTTTATTTCTTATGTTTGCAATTTTTCAAACCATTTTTACCTGCCAAAATTGATTCTGTGTATTCCTGGTGAAACAGATACTGTGGTAAAACTTTTTTTTTTTTTCTTAAAATGGTTAGTCTTACTACCTTTGAGCATTYRGGAATTGTGAGAATGCCCCCGTAATRTTGTGAGAAYTGCAAATAGAACAAGTTTTTGGTTTTGTTTGGTGTTTTTRCCCCCTATTTGTTTTATTTGCCTTCTACTATGGTTGCTACTGGAATATATTTCTTAATGCTGGCTGAAAAAAGCTGCTTTCTCACCTTGCATTGCAACTCTTAATTAATTTCTAACAAGGACAGTTGGAAGATGYGTTTGGAAAGGTCTTCCATTCGAGTCAGAGTTCAGGCCTCTCTTTCCATTTCATCAACAGTGAGACTGAGACAATCCGTAAAATGCCCCCATAACAAAAAGGCTAAATATTCTGCTTCTAGTACCTTTGAGGTGAAGRGTTTTAAACAATTAGCATTCAGTGGCCTCAAATTTTAAAATAAGAACCAAACATGKATTTCAAAACATGGAGAGTTTTATGTTTATGTTGCCCAAAGCTGGGCACCCTTTCCCTTGATGTATCACCTGATCTCTTCTCTCTTTAAATCTCACAAAATTCAGTTWACATCTCACAGCTGTGACTTCTTTGCTTCCTATTTTTGCTTAGGAGGYTGCTGGTTGAGGACCAAGCTTTGTGGAGTCAGTAATTTCTTGATCAAACCCTGGGAGTGTTCAATTTTTTTTTCCTTTACATTGCATAAATACAGATTTATCAAAAGCAAAACTTAACAGGTAAAGAAGCTGTATTTCTTGTTGCAGTAGCTCACTTCTCTGCATTTAGGCTGGGAGCCTTTGAGGTGGGAGTTGATGTGGTGTAGAAGGCAGACATGAGGCAGAATAATGATTTGCAGCCTTGGGAGCTCTTTGCAGGGATTTCTGTCAGGAATCCTGAACATTTCATCCTGGGCTGAACACACTAAGCCTTTAAATGCCCTCCTGTGCAGATCAACCTCTAAATCTGAAAAATAGATGTTTGCCTTGCTTCATATTTAAGGAGCCAGGCTATGCTTCTGCACGCACAGGARTCACTGTGATGGACAGATGGGATTCAGTACTGGTGAAAAATGCTTTTTGTGGATGTGGGTCTGGATGTGTGTTTGTAGATGTGTGTATTTACATATATATATGTAATTTTCTTTTCCCCCTATTACCTAYGCTTGGAGCAACAAAGAAAGGAAAGGCAAATTCTTATCCAGGCTCCTGTGTGCACATGTATTTACCAGCCCATTTGTGCATATGGAGGGTGGTCCAGACTTCACAAATAAACATTCTTGTGCTACCTTTTCATGTGTTGCTAATGAAGGGCTCGCACAAGTGTTAAGTGTGGCCAGGTAAAGGCAGCACGGAGGGTGTAGGAGAGATTTAGTGAGATAACAGATGCTGAAACAATGGAACATCCCGTGTAAAGAGGAGGCAGAAAGCTCAGACCTTCCTACATGGGCTGGCTGGAGTCCAAGGACTGGAGATGGAGCCTCAGAATGCAGTGTTTCTGTGCRTTAATATGTGTTTAATAATTTATTTGCTTTGTGTTTTATGCCGGTCTAGAGGAAAGGATGTTTGCTTGCAAAAGCATTCCCTTGTTATAGAAATAGTAAAACCTCTTAGACACAGAGGATACAATGTAAAATTTCTGAGAGCTGAGAGCTTTAATTTTCTAGATTTCACTGTTGCAGTATTAGTAAAACAAAAAAAAAAAAAACCAGTAAATTTTGTGCAAATGCAAATTGTGCAGAGATTTCAAGAGGCTATCTCACTATAGCAGCAAACACTTTGGGTTTGCATCCTGATATGTGTAAATAAGGGGGAAAAAACATCTGAGTAGCAGGAAAGGTTGGATCCTGCTGTGGGCAGGTACACTGCTGGATGGTGGTGTAAACMTCCCTTTTCCAGAAAAACACATGGAGAAAGTAACTGGGTAGATGGAGAAAGAGCAGCTTTCCTTGCTGGTGGAGTCCAGGCATGGCATTAGACACAAAGGAAAGGCCTGTTCACTTCTATTTACACTTGAGAAAAATGTTAATGGAATTAAATAAGAATTTTCCTGTACTTGAAGTGAGATTGCCTCATATGTGTAAATGCTGTATTTCTTTGGAAATGTTGCTTTTTTTTGGTTTGATTTGTTAAAAAAATTTATTTTGTGT